GCGTTATGGACATTTTCGCTTGTGTTTTATGCATTATGGACATTTTTTTAATTTGTAAAAGAGTCTCAAATTGGTAAAAATAAAACTATTTTCATTACGAAATCTAGAGCAGGAAGTCTTAAGTGCTGGGAATGTACCCGGTCATGATCACGTTGTGCAAAATCAGCCGTGCGTGCCATGACGCAAAATACACCGTGGGACTTCCATAGCAACTAGTTTCGTACCATCCCAGCTGAACCCTCCTTTGTTTTGGAAGTCTCATTTTGTAACTTGCGTCCCAGCATGGCTGATTTGGTACCTTGTGACCGGGTCCTGCAAAGGGCCTTTTAGTATGGGTTGTCTCGCAAACTCAGACCTCAGACCCGAAAAACTCAGACCTTCTGGTTGTCTCGAAAACCCAGTCTATTAATGGTTTATTCTGCTCAAAATGGAATTTAGGAAGAATCCATAATAGGCTATATCCGTTTGCGAATGTCCAGTTCTGCAGCGTGGCTCTTTATTTGTATTACGAAACAGTCTCGCAACTTGGTTCGAATGGTTACTAAATAAATAAATTTGATAAACGTTGTTTCATTTTTCGGGTCTGAGTTTTCGAGATATCCAGAGGGTCCGAGGTTTTTCGGGTCTGAGGTCTGAGTTTTCATGATCTGAGTATTCGAGACACCCTTTTAATATGTTGGTACTCGTATTGGTAAAATGTTCTAATTCACAAAACAATGTCTCTTGCACGCCTTACGTGCCTATGTTCGGCGTTTTTTCAAGGACAAATCGACTGTGTGACTTCACACTGCATTTTGCCGTTTTTGTGTTTTTCTTTTTATAAAACTTTCTTTCTTAGTTTATTTATAGTCTGTAACTTGTCATCACTATAAATTAATTGCTCTCTTTTATTTTCGTTTCTTCTTTTTCTTTTTCAATAAAATGTTATTTTGTACGAAATTGCATTTAGTCTGTCGGTGCTTCAATACAAAGCAACATCGAGCTTATCTTGGTCGCATAAAGAGGCTCTATTCCCAAAAGAATCAACTCGAAAGGAAGAAAGTTCAAGATGAATGAATCACCCAAAGCATTTCATATAAACTCGGGCTATGAAGATTACGACACTGACCCGACTTCAATGGAACCCGTTCAATTGAAAGCATTCAGGATTCAACCAGAAGAGATATATGAACATTTAAATTATGATGACCGCAATCTGTACGACAAACTAGACCTTAAGAAAACGGAACCTGCTCAAGGATCAAGTCGCGCCCTATTGGCCCTGGTCATCATTGTGTGTTTAATATCTCTCGTGGCTCTTCTGCTGACACTACTGATGTTCTTCGGGATAATCAGACCCTCAAACGAAGGTCAGAACATAGAGTAATTGATGTTGGAGAAAACAAAATGTGTAATCCCTTAGCATGCAAAATTTTGTTTGGAATGCTGAAAGTTATATGAAAACATTCCGAAGTTTCGAGGATAATCCCTTCATAGAACTATGGACCTATAGATAGCAGTACAAGGTTGATTGCCGGTACGACTTTTCAGTTCATTTATTTCAACCCAGTTGAGTTCTCTGAGTCCGCACTCCTTCCTGCTGTTGACCAGTTAATAGGTCGAGGTTATCAGTACGAGACTGTAGTGAAACGTGTTAATTCGAAAGTATAAGCACTACGCTCGAAAAGTCGCACTCGTATTTAATCAGCTAGAAGTATTCTTATCTAAACTCGGGTCCTTTGTAATAATAGTGTTTCTGGCGGGAAAAGCTCGTGCTCACAGCACTTAAGTCGCCAGTTGACGTCTTTAAAAAGCAAACGATTAACGAATGCCAGCCACGTCCGTAAAGGCAGCGCATAAATGAAACACAGAATGACAACACAATAATGACAATTGCTGTGGTTCAGTACACAAGTCCTTTTTTTTTTCGAGAAAAAATACAAAGTCTCCGTAGGGAAAGCGGGCTTTTCACTTGTAACTGTTTTACATTGGGGAATTAAAGTTTACGGAGGTAACAGAGCGGAATAATTTTCCCTAAATAAATTTAAGGAATGCATACAATGCGATAAAATCTAAGTAGGAACTAGGAAATGGGTTAAGAAGAAGTTATCGGTTTTCTGAGATAAATCCACGTCTGCAGCCACAGTACTAGTACTTGATCTGGTAATGAATTTTTTGTCTAGTGGAGTGTACGTCTAGAACAATAATGATATTTTCGTCGTTTTCGTATTCAATTGACAAATCTCAGGTGTCATTTTTTGGAACAAAAGGAAGTGTTTATATAAGACAAGAGTTCAACTCCCACAGGATTAATTTGGTACACCAACATGGCCGCCGTTTCATTGTCTTGGAGCACCATAAGGGAGTTTTAGCAATAAAGACGGCGACGCTGAGGACGACGCCTTGTAAAAAAAATGTATTTATATTTTAGCTTCGAATGTCGCAACTATATAAATCTCTTTAGTAAGCCTATCGGTTTAAAAACTTGCTCAGGCTAAACATGCACCGACAGAGTTCAATTCCAAAAGAAGATACGAAAAACTATCTATTGCGGTACACGTTTTCTAAAATACGTAGAAGTTGGTCAATTCACGTTGTTGTTTTACAGAGGACGGCGAAGAAATATACCAATGAAGAAGTCGAAAACTGTGAACTTAGCAGGAAGCGCTTAATAATATAAGTGAAAGAAAAGCGTTCAGATGCAGCGGGAGCCAGCGTGACACTGAGAGAGGAAGTCCTAAAACCTCGAAAATGAAACACTTGGAAAATTAATAATATACATGAAAATATTGCTCGATTCTGATTGGCCGAGAACTGTGCAGTTCAAGTGTAACACCAGTGCAAAAAGTGTAACACCACTGCAAATTACACATCGTAATTCTGGATTATGATTGGCTGAAAGACAGTAGGAAATTTTCTAAGCCAATGACATCACGCAAATCTCTAAAATAAAATACTTGAAGTGTCTAAACCTCGAAAAATAAAACAGTCACCAAGTAAATACCCAAATACTCTAAAATTGCAAAGAAACACTCAAAATTGAATCAGTCGGGTTAAAATTGAAGGATGCTCTCCGCGTTAATTACTTTGAATTCTTAGAAAACGAGCATCAGTTCTAAAATGAAAAGCTGTAAACAAACCGCAGACTTGTGAGAACTGAAGTTCGTTATAGGAGTTCATTGTTGTAAGAGTGAATCGAAATCAAATTATTTCATTTCAGATCTTTTTTTCCAGCGGCTATCAGTCTCCGCCTTCAAATAAATAGGGAGTTTAAGAAGCTACGACGGCGACGCCGAGGAAATAGTCGATTAAAAAATGAATTTATATTTTACCTGCGAATCTCGCGATACTCCTAAGTCATTTACTTTGTTTATGACTGTCAAAACTATCACGAAACTGAATCTGGGACACAGAGACAAATTTGAAATAGAAATTTACAATATTAGCCGTTGTGGTTCACGTTGTTCAGACAACGCGGAATTTGGCCATTTTACGTTCTTGTTTTGCAGGGGACGGCAAAGAAATGTACAAAGAATCATAACGCACGTGCCCAGCCATTGTTCTGCTCATTAAACCTTTTGTTTAGCGACGTTCCCGTTGCCGTTGCCGTCGTGGCTTTCTTAAACTCTCTAATATATACGTGGAGGTTCAGGATAGCAATAGACCATAATAAGCAGCATGACCATACATCGTGGACTTTTGGGTGCCTTATGCTTGTCACTGTATGCTCCGTCATATGCAATTTGCAAGGGACTGGCTCTAGCTTCTCCTGTACCTCGAGGTTTCCCGCGGCCATCTTGTAAATGTACGTTTCTATGAGTAAAGTCTCGTTCGCAGTTCACCTCAGATTCTTGCTGTTGCATCGACAATACTTTAACAATGCTTAGCTCGTCTTTTTGAGTGCTTCGATCAGTTTCTTCACTTACTATCGAGCAATGGAGGCATGATGAGCGCGATGAAAGCGATCACAGTTAAAATTGTCTGTGGGACAACAGTGAACGTTTCTGTATTCATACAGAAATAAACGATATTTAGTTTTTCCTCTATTCATTTATGGAACCAAGTAAATTCAAGGTACCTAAGAGATCACTTAAGTCATTAAATACCATAACCAGTCTTCAATATTTTCTGGAAGATAAAGCCACTCAAATTTCCATCTGAAGCTGATTGTTATTTCTATTTTTAGGCTCTGAATCTGTTTTAGCCAAGATAAAGACCTTTGAGGAGAATATAACGAACCAACAACTGGATTTGGTAAGGAGCAACACCATTTTGTCATAAACATGCTCACCATAGGTTGGCTGAGAGACAACGAGCAAGTTAGCAGTAACTATCACCTCGTTTAGTTGTCCGTTACAAGATTGTGGTCACAAATGCATCTCGAAGTAGAGGCAGAAACAAATGCAAATTTATGGACAATTCAAAGATAATTTGCCAAATATTACGATCCATCTGATGGTTTTAAATATGGTTCAGCAGATAAATACGAGCATTCGTTTACACCAATGTACTTTCATTATACAGTCGAACCTCCGGTTGCGACCACCTCTCCTCAGCGACCAGTTTTCCAAGATACCAAAAGTTTCCCAGTCAAATCACTATATTTGGAACCTCTTGTAAGCGACCACATCTCGTAAGCGACCGCGACCACTTTTAGAGCTAAAAGTTTGAAAATTTCTTTTGTTTTTAACCTCCCGTAAGCGACCACTTGACAGATAATAGTCATAATAGAGCGAAAATTAGATAATAAGGTGTTGCAACATTATCGCACTCCTAGGTGGTACAAGAGAGCGAAATTTCTCCATGGGAATTAGAAGTACCGGATTTTTTCTCAAAATTGACTTTCCACATGAATGAAACATTTAAAACATGGGCTAAGCATTCTGCAGTTACCATATGCTAATGAGGCGAAATTTTGCCCCAATATGGTCAAAATTCTGGTAAACGACCACCTCCCGTGAGCGACCACCTAGGCTTGACATTTTGGCTGATCGCCTACGGGAGCTTCGACTGTATTTAACAATTGAGTTTTTTAAATTCAAGAAACCGTTAACGTTCTTTTTTTAGCCTTGTCAGGAATTTAATTACCATTTGTATCAAAATGTTCCTTCAAAACTTTACCTTCAACTCCTTCAACCACTGCACAAACATGGCTGATAGTATACGATAATTCAGCCAATCAGATTGCAGCATTTGCATCAGTGTTCAAGTAGAATTATACTAAAATATGAAAGATCTCGTTTCAGTTCTAGGAGTGGCGAATGGTACCCAGAAAATCGTGGATCTCGGAAATTCTTGATCCGATCTCGGAATCTCGGAAGCTTTTGTAACGAGTCACGAAGTCTCGTTTTTCATATGTTTCTTTCGGTCTCGGAGTCTCGAATTTTTTTCGCAAGGTCTCGGACTCTCGGATTTGCTTTTTTAGCAGAGGTTCTCCAGCAAAAGTTATCGCGTTGAGCGAGCAGAGTCTGTTGCTGCGTAGC